ATTAAACCAGTGGGTCGGGCCTAGCTTGATGAACAAGAGTGAAGTAACGGGAAAAAGACATTATTATCTTCAATGTATACAAAGCATCTGTTCCAATTAGAGAATCATATTTTCTTCTTAAGTTAATAAAGCTAGTACTTCGACACAGGCAGGTATCGAGTTCGAGTCCAAAGGATACAAATTAGTAGAGGCAAGATTTACAGGAGATTTTTAGCATGGTGAAAGGAAAGTCATTCGGAGTGGTCCCATGATATAGCCTATATTTTACCGCTTTTACTATCTATTTTTACTATGGTTTTTACATATATTAATAAAGTTTTTCGACCAAAAGAGGAAGTTTTTTTCGTATTTGTAGATATTAAGGTCTTAACAGGTTTTATCATCAAAAGGATGTAAAATNGANNAAAANGAGTGTTNTCTATGATGCAGNTACTCANTCAANTCAAAGNAACNANGCCAAGTCGTTTTATCTTGAAGATAATGCATATTCTCAAACTGGACATAACGTATACGTCAGAAGTTCGTTGATGAACGGAGGATCAAATCAATTGGGAATTTAATGAAACTTGGTATAGAGATAGCCCTTTGAGTTAGCTTTCCAATAGAGTTTCCAATGGAGTTAGAATTTCATTAATTGGAGCTGCACTTTGGAAGATACACTGGAAACACTGAGGACATGTCAAACTGCCTTCGAAGTGAAGTGAGTGCACAAAGGAGCCAAGCACCGGGCCACCCATGGGCCGATGATCCAGACCTTTGTCGACCTTCTAGAAGCGCCATAGAAGCCTCAAATAACGGTCACGCAACCCGACCNGTATTGTGAACAATCAATCTTGATCATAAAGCATGTTTTCACCTTGTAATAACNTGNGATAGTTGAGTCTATTAGGGTAGAAAACGTAGAANGTTAGTTACGTCACGACAGTGGGATGNCCTTACATTAGTGATATGAGTTCTAGAACAAGTAGTATTAAAATCCTAAATCAATTTCTTGTGTTTTGCATATGTTTTGTGAATTGCTTGATTTCTCATCTTAATTGATATATATCCCTTTATTTTATTGCTTTGTTATTTGCTTCCATAAAAATCTCAAAAACCAAATAATATGTTTACTTAGCTTAACTGGAATCATATAGGTTTGTAGCGCATTCATCACTTAGTCCTCAGTGGATCGACTCCTAAGTACTACAATTGTCTTTACTGTGCACTTGCAGTTTCCTAGGGTTATAAATTTAAAACTCGTATTGCATCACTAAAACCCTACACATCAAGTTTTTTGGTGCCGTTGCCGAAAACTTTTGTTTGATTGCCTACAAATTTTTTGATGAAAATTAAGTCTAAG